ATATAAGATATAAAAACTAATTAACTCAAAAAATACAAAAATGAAAAGGTACAAGATTAATAAATAAATTAAATAAAAAGGAAATGATAAAATAAGAGAAAATAAAAGTTTAGTTTCAAAAAGAAGAATAAACGTTCATAAGAAAAAGATAAGTAAAACACAAATAAATAATAACAATGAATTAGTTAGTCTTAACAAAACGAAGAATAATAAAAAACAATTCTATTAATATATAATTAATTTGCTATCTATTTTAAATTTTTTTAAATTTTGTTTTTAAGAAAGAAAAAATGAAACAAAAATAATCAGAAATTCATTTGTACAAAGAAGATGAGTGAAAACAATGAAAATTTCATTCGTCTCAAAATTCCAATCTGTGTGTCACCAAAAAAACGTTTTGATTTGGGATCAATACAAGTAGACCAGATGCATAGTATTCCTATAACATTAAGATGTGAAATAAGTAACATAGAAATTAAATTTGAAGCTATTGAAAGTGAAGAGAAAAGTACTAAGATTGAACCAATAAGAGCACTTAGAATTAGAAAATTACCAGCAGAAAATAAAGTAATTATAAAACTTACACCGATATATCCTACTGTAGAAACAATTATTCGAATTAGAATTATTGTCTCTCCTTTAAAAACAGTTAAATCTGAATCATTGTTACAAAATGTGATGTCAGATGAAATAACTATTAGGTATAAAACTCAAGTATCTAATTGGATAAATCCACAACAAGCATCAATTGAACTTATTGAAAAAATAGGAGAAGGGAAAGAGGGTAAAATTTTTAGAGGAAAATATAACGGTGAAGAAGTTGCAATTAAAAAGGCATTAATGGCTGATGGGAGAAAAGAAAATGAACTATTTGCATTTCTTAAAAATGATTACATTATTAAATATATTTGTTCATATAGAGATGAGTCATTACAAGCACCAACAGTTAATATTGTTATGGAACTTGCTCCATTTGGTTGTTTACTTTCTAAATACAGAGAAATAAGTGAAGAAGTATTATTAAAAATATCTGAAGATGTAGCAAAAGCTATACGTTATCTTCATGTAGAAAAACACATTATTCATCGAGATGTTAAACCACAAAATATACTTTTATTTAATTGGACAGATATTGTTAAAATTAATGCCAAATTAACTGATTTTGGAATTAGTAGAATAATTGATTCAGGAGGACTACATACAGGAATGTTAGGAACTCAAAATTTTACAGCACCAGAAGTTATTAGAAATGAAAGATATTCATATCCATGTGATATTTATAGTTTGGGAATGACAATGTATTTTTCATTTACTAAAATTGATCCTTATGATGAAAGTATTTCTAAAGTTATGTCACATGGAAATTCTATTCCAAAACATCCATTAATAGTTGATAATATTTGGAGTTTAATTACTTCATGCTGTGAATTAGATCAAAATAAACGACCAAATATTGAAACATGTTTAGAACATATTGAACAAATTAGAAAAGAATATAAAATATTGTCATCTAATAAAGTAGTTGAAATTGAACAAAAAGAAGTATATTTTTCACTTGGCAAACCATTTGATTTATTAGAGTCTGTTATTAAAGTTGTTGAATCAATTGATAAGTATGACACACAAAACCAAATGATTTTAGCATATTTAAAATTAAAAAATCATATTGACATTGAAGAAGCAATTAAAATATTAGAAAATGATAAAACAACAATTGAAAATCATGGAGATAAAGAATATTTATTAGGTGATTATTATTTTAAATCAAATGATAAAAATGTTATTAGAAAAGGAAGAGACCTTTTAATTAAAGCAGCAAGTAAAAATCAACCACAAGCAATTATGTTTCTTGTTGATCAACTTAAAGATATTGCAAAACAAAGAATATTAATTATTGATGATAAAAAAAATGAGTCTGACAATTTTGAAGAATTTATGCAAAAAGTATGTAGAGTAGTACCAACAAAAATTCCATTACAAGTTTCAAAAGGAAAAGTATTAAGAATGGAAAATAATGAAAAATATATGGTTTCTCCTGAATGTGTTATTAAAATGTTTGCTTCATTAAAATCAATTTTTCCTATATGTAAATTTCAATATGCAATTGCACAATTATTAGGAATTGGAACTCCAAAAAATATTACTAATGCTGATATTCTTTTTGTTCAATTACAAAAAATTAATTGTGAAGAAGCTTTATTTTATGAAGCATTATGTCAATTAACACCTCACCATACACAAGAACAACATAAAACAACATTTCAAACGTTATCTGATTATTTACTTAATTCAAAAAATTGTGAATTAAAACCAGACGTATTAAATAATCAGGCAGTATTCTTATTTAAAGGATGGGGAAGAAGTTTAGATAAACGACAATCATTTAAAATGTTTTCAGAAGCAAAAAAATTAGGAAATGTTGAAGCCCTTTATAATTTATCATATTGTTTATTACATGGAGAAGGTTGTGAAGGAACAGAAAAAGAAAAGAAAACTGCAATTAAATTATTATTAAAAGCAGCAAAAAAAGGATATGTTCCTTCACAATTATTACTTGGTAATTGTTATTTTAATGGAAATGGAACATTAAAAGATGAAAAATCAGCTGTTTATTGGTATACTAAAGCTGCACTACAAAATAACTCAACTGCAATAAATAATCTTGGAAGTTGTTTTTATAAAGGAAATGGAGTAGAAAAGAATGACCAATTTGCTTTTCATTTATTTTTATTTGCTACACAAATGGGAAATCAAAAAGCACAAATAAATTTAGCCTTATGTTACTTATGGGGATGTGGTGTTAAGAAAAGTATTGATGACGCAAAAAAGTGTTATGAAATTGCTTCATTAAATAGTAACTCTGAGGCTCAATCAAAATATGCACAATTACTTCTTGATGAATATCGTAATACAAAAAATGAAGAAACCCTTAACGAAGCATTAGACATGCTTGATAAAGCATCAAAAAATGGAAATGCTGATGCAATGTATAATTATGGATTATGCTTTTATAAAGGATTTGGTAATCTAAAGAAAAACCAAATTAAAGCATTTGATTTATTTAAAGCAGCAGCATTTAAGAAACATCCTGATTCATTATATATTCTTGGAGTAATGTATTATAAAGGAAAATATGTATTTGAAGATAAAACTTTAGCAATGGAATATATAACTAAAGCAGCTGAATTACATAATCATAGAGCATTATTTCATATTGGAATGTGTTTCTTTAGAGGAATTGGTAAACCTCTAGATGTAGATAAAGCAATGGAATTTTTTGTTGAAGCTTCAAAATATGGATCAATTCAAGCAGAATTAAAAATTGCAGGAATCTTATTACATGGATCAGATAAAATTCAAGCAGATAAACCAAGAGCAATACAGATTTATGAATCGTTGGCTAAAAAAAAAGTTGGAGAAGCTTATTATGTGTTAGGTGAATGTTCATTAAATGGAGATGGAGTTCCAAAAGATGTAAACAAAGCAAGAAATTTATTTCAAATGGCAAGTTTGTATGATTGTCCTATGGCATCAGAACGATTGGTGTTATTGAATCATAATATCTTCTAATTTGAATTTTGTTTTTTTTTTATTGTTCTGTTAGTTTCATTTTAATCTTTTTATATTTAGTTTAAAATGGCAACTCAACAAATAAACAAATATACTCCTGTTCATTGGGCAATTATTAATAACATACCTTTAAAAGAAGAAATGTTATATCATTGTAATATTAATGATTTTGATTGTTATGGAATTCCTGGATTACACTACGCTATTCATATGCAAAATAGAGAAGTTATTCAATGGTTATTTGATCATGGTGCTGATCCATTATTAAGAAATAAAAATGGATTTAATGCATTTCAAGAAGCAGTATGCACAAGAAATGAACAAATCATTAAAATAACATATGAAAAAACATATAATTACTATAGAACAATTTACGATGAACGAGTAATAGATGGTGCAGAAACCCTAAATGAATTACATGACTTTCAATTTACTCTTCATTGGGAATTACAAACATGGATTCCTCTTGGGACATATTTACTTCCATCTGATAATAATGTAATAAGAAAAAGAGGAAAAAATTTAAGATTAGATATGAATATTATTGGATTTAATCATTACACAGTTCAAAAAGGAAATGGGTCATTAATATTCTTTGGAGAAGATAAAAACCAATTTAAAAAAGGAGAAGTTATTTTTGTAAATCATAATGAAAAAACTGTTACAAAGTTATGTGGATGTGGAACACAAAGAAAATTAAAAATTGAAGATGTACTAAAAACAAATGTTACAACGATGAAAACAAAAATAATATTTGATTGTAAAGAAGCTAAAACATTACTTGGATATGAAAGAAATGAGAACATAAATGGAATTAATTGTAAAGTATATAACGTTACTCCTTTTTGGGCTGAATTAATAACACGAGAATTACCTTCTATTATTCAAAAACCAAAACATTTTAAATCTAAAATTTATGATGATGAATATATGCAAAATCACATTAAAAATAATATTTTATTAAGAAAAAATGAGAAAGAAATTCTTAGAAAAAAAACTTGTCAAGCAGAAATGTGGATTGGAAAAGGATCAATAGAATTATCAGAATTTAAAATTCTTATGAAATTCTTATCTAAAAATTTTGATAATTTCAGTGCTTTTGAAGACTTCTTTGAAAGAAATAACTTAACTAATGACTTTGGGTTTCCTCTTCAATTTAGTTTGTTATTTATTAAAACATATTCTCCTTTAAATGACTAATTATTTATTGTATAGAAATACCTTTAGCTTTTTCATTAAGTATTGTTGCAAATATTAAAGACTATCAAGCGGTTTCTCCAAGTGAAGAAATATTTGAAATACCAAAAGCATATAATATTCTTGATTTTACTAAAAATTAATTTATTATTTTACAGTTCAACGCCAAAGATAAATCCTTTTTCCATTTTCAAAAGATATAAAAACAACTATATATTTAACTTGAAATCTAAATGTCAAATATAGTAACTGGTGAAGAAGCTGTTCTTATGTGGTCAAATATGCGTGCAAATTGTTATAATTTGAACGTAACTGATTTTGGTTCATGTTGGAATGATGGACGTGTTGTTACAGCCATTATTCATTCATTATTTCCAAAAGAGTTTGATTACAATTCAATGACTTTTAAAGAACCAGTTTGTTTTTAATATTTTTGATGAGTTTGAGTACTTATTACAATAGCTTAAAGATATGCAAGTTGCTTTTGATTGCTTAAAAAAACATGGAGTTATTATTTATATGGAACCTCAAGACTTCTTAATGAAAAAACCAGACACTAAATCAGTGACTTTATTTGCAGCTGAATTAATGAAATACTCTCAAGGAAATTATGAGGGGTATGATGAAAAAAAATTTGAAGAAGCAAAAAGAAAAAGACTTGAAGAAGAAAAAAAAGAAGAAGAAGAAGCTGCTAAAAGAAAACAAGATGCTATTGATGCTTTACCAAAATGTACTGCTTGTGGACAGCCAATATCAGTATACGCTTATGAATTTTGTGGATATCCTTATCATGACACTTGTATTAAATGTAATGGATGTAATAAACCATTACGTTTTAAGGCATTAGCTGTTAATGAAAAACCATATTGTGAACTTTGTGGAAGAAATGCTTTCCAAAAGATGAAAGCTGATGGTTGGGTTCCACCAGAAGGAGTACGTGGTCCAGTTCAAACTCGTATTGGTACTTATACAGGAGAAAAGAAAGCACCACCACAAACTGAAAAACCAGTTGTAAAGAAGGAAGAACCAAAACCAACAACCTCTAAAGAGCCAGAATTAATTTCACGTAAAACAGTTGACTCACATAAAGAAGGAGGATTTTTAATTGAAACCATTGAAGAAATTATTTTTGACCCAGCTATTGGAAAGAAAAAGAAGAGGACTATTAAAAGAAAGACTGCAATTAAGGAAGAGCCAAAGGTAGAAACTAAAGCTGTTGATGAAGATGATGAAATTAAGAGACTTGAAGAAGAACAACGAAAATTAGAAGAAGAAATGAAAAAAGAAGAGGAAGAACAAGAAGCTGAACTTAGACGTTTAGAAGAAGAAACTCGTCGTCAAGAAGAGGAATTAAAGAAAATGGAGGCTGAAGATAATGATGATGATGAGTTAGCTCGTATTGAAGCAGAACTTGCTAAACTTAAAGAAAGTGATGCTTAAGTGCCGTTTTAAATATCTGCGTTTTCATCTCAAATTGAATTTAAAAATAACAACCAACTCTTTTACATTACTTTTTTATTTATGAAAATAAAATGGTTTAATTTTCAATCCATTCACAATATGGTTTTTTGGTTAATTGGCTATTGTAATATCTTGGGTCTTGAGAAACTTCTTTTCCTAGCCATTGTGGTTTAATGAAATTTTCTGTTTCTGATTCTAGTTCAATTTCTGCAACTATTAAACCTTTGTTTTTATCTTCAAATACATCAACTTCATATGTATGTTTTCCCATTGGAATGTAATGTCTTGTTTTAACTATTTTTTCATTACACATTTGAATTAATTCTTCAGCATCTTTCAATGGAATAGTATATTCGTACTCTTTTCTAGTAATCCCATGAGTTTCTCCTTTGATAGTAATATATCCAGATATCCCATCAGTTCTTATTCTGACTGTTCGAGATGGTTCTGAGCAAAGATAGCCTTGAAGAAGTTTTTTTTGTGTATGAGGTTGTTTTAGAAACTCAGTTGAGGTAACAAGAAATTTTTTTTCAATTTCAGTGTTAGTCATCTGTTGTTTCTATTAATTAAGAATTAAAAGATCATTCTTATTCTTTTGAAACTAACCTAAACTTTGACTCATTCATTATTTTTTTTAAAAGATTAGAATATATAATGAAAATACTAATAATCTAAGCTTTTATAATATGAGGTTATCATTATATTGTATGAGTCATGTTGATAATATCAATGAAATAAATAGTATGCATGAAAACTTAAAACAAAGAGTTAATTAGAAAAAAGGATATGGAAAGGAATCTTATTTTCAATTAGATAAAGAATAACATAATTAATAATATAATATTTTTTACTTAAATGAATATAAATATATGTTTTTATTTTATTTTGAAACTTTACTGGACAAAAAAAAAGGATTGAAAAAAGCAAAATTATTTATTGTCTATAAATTTAAGTACTAACAAAGATTCAATTAATCATTAAAAATAGTTTCTAGCTTTTCAAAAGATAAGTTTATAATTTTTTTGGGGAACTTGATAATAAGTTATAAGTTAGAATATAAATTTATGGTATTAAATAATACTCTAATAATCTGTCATTTATCAACTCTAATTTACTTTGTAGTTTTATGAATAATTTATTGGATGATAGTTTTAATATATTATTTAATTAGGATATTATAATAGCTTCTTTGAATATAAAACAATGTTATTCAATAATAATTATTTATATTATTTAATTGATTAAGACTTTGAAGAAGAGAATCAAATAATTTATTTGGTTGAGTCATATTCATATTTTTAGAAAAACGTTTGAGAAAGATTTAAAAAGAGAAAAAATAAGAAAAAAAACTGAAACAGATAAAGAACAGTTGATATGGACAAGAAGAGAGTTTCATTAGGACCAAACGTTAGGCAATCAATATCATTACTTGAAAAATCAACGATGAATGAAGAGTCATTGATTCAACCAGTTAGTAGAAAAAGTTCATTTGCATTACCAGCACCTCGACAGTCAATCAGAAGATCAATAGTACCTCCAAGACAACACTTAAGCGATGAAGAAATTAAAAAGATGTATGCCGAATGTTATTTGTTGTGTGACCAAAGAAAAGTTAATGAAAAGAACGTTTGGGCTTTATCATTGATTGATTATATGAAAGACGTTATTCAAGTAGAAGCCTTAGAAAATCAAGGAACAGCAAATTTTGCTAAGGCAGGTCTTGCTATTGATGCTGGTGTTCAAATTTATTCTGTCAGAGTGGATGCTGTGCATAAAAAAACATTTGCTGTTGTTGATACAATTAAACAGGCTGAAGCAGTTGAAGAAGATCTGAGTAGTTTTGATGAAACACCAGAAAAACCTGAGGATGATGCAACACAAAGTTCTCAACAAACACAAAAAAAAGGAAGAACAAAAAAAACTCGTACAAATATACAAAAAATAACAATTGAAAAACATCCTAATACTCTTCTCAGTAAATCAGATAAAGTAGAGTTTCATAAGGATAGATTATTCCATCAAAGAATTAGTGCCTTAGAAGGTAAATCAATATTAGAAGATGTTGTACATAATTATGGGGATTTTATTTCTGGTGACTATGCTGAAGTAATTGATATCGAAGAAGAAGATGGTGATTTTGAAGACCCTGAAATTGATTGGAAAGGAAATAATGCATCACAACTTAATATAACTGAACTGAATACTCAAGATAAGAATAATTTAATAAGTACTATCATTGATGATCTTAAAACCCCTAATGCTACTCAACAAGCTATTTTAGAAAGACAAGAAACTGCCGATAAATTATTAGAGGATCTTCCTAACGATGAACCAATGCCATATATAGATGATGTTAATCCAGTTGATGATCAAGGAGGAGAAATACTACCAACACAAGAACCAGACCGTTCAGGTAATCCTGATTTATTAGCACCAATTGTTTCCCGAAGTGGATTTACATATTTTGATCCAAATTTATATAATATTAAAGAGATTCAAAAAAGAATTCGTGTTGATGCTAAGATTGGGAAATTTATCAAACCAAAAGTAGAAAAGAAACAACGAGAAAAGAAAGAAGTTCAAACAATGTTTGATTTAAGAGGAATGAAGACAGAGCCATTTAAAAAATTATTCAGTAAGAAAGCTACAACAAAAGAAGTAAGGTTATTTGAAAAAATGAAACATACATTTAATGAAATTGATATTAATGAATTTTCACGATTAATGCTTGTTCCATTAAAACGACTAAGTAGTGGAGATGAAAAAGTAATAGAAGTTGTTGAAGAAGAAAAGAGAGAATCTTTACTTCAATCTAGGGCGAGTGTTCTTAATGGAAATAGAGCAACATTGAATGGTATGAGACAATCAGTTATTGGACAAGGTAAGTCTATATTAAAAGGTGAAGAAGAAGATGAAGAAGATGAAAGGATGTTTATGAGAAGTGAAGACGAAGAAGAGGAAAAGAAAAAAGAAGAGAGTGTAATTGAAAAGAATCAAGGATTTACTTCTGTGGCAATCCCAAGAATGATTAATATGGAGAAGATTATTGCTGCAACTAGACCAAAGAATTTAGATTATGACGGAGCAGAAAAAGCAATTATTTCAGTATTAAAAAAGTGGAAAGAATCAGGAAAAGGAGATATTATTGATTTTCAATCCATCCTTGATGGTATTGTTGAAGAAATTGGGAACGAAAAAAAGAAAGACTTGACTGTTCATTTTGTCTTTGTTTCACTGAATATTCTTTGTTTTAGAACGTCCTATAAAATTATCAAAAAAGGTGAAAATGATATTTATTTGGACATGTCTAAATAATTTTAGAAGTTTTTAATTTATATTATTTTGTTCAAAATTTTGTTCAAAATAAAGATTAAACGTATTCAACAAAACTATTTTAATTAAGTTTATTGTGAAGAAGAAGATTCACTTGGAGAAGATAAATCATTTTCATTTGAAGCTACAACAACTGGTGAAAGAAGATGACGTTCACTTCCATTTCGATCATTTGTTTCTTCAAAATGAACAGGTGTTGCATTGTTTGAGTTGTTAAGTAAATTCAATTCAAGTTCTGGTTTTAATTCATCACTACTTTCTGATGATTTACGTGAATCATTTAATGTATTTCTATTGGAATTAGACCCAAAAATAGTTGTCTTTTTCTTAGCAACTCTCTTTAATTCAT